CATTGTGGTGGTGTATAGAGCCAAAGATGTTAGAATTGTGTCGATGTCCCAATATTTCTGGACCTGACTGTATATACTACTAAAACTCTCGTGTCTGTAACCTTCAACTGGGCGAAACAGTCCGTCATAGGGCAACAATTTTTGAACCAAGGTACCTCAAATGGGCTAACTTACAGAATGCACCAAAAATCCAGGACCTATTATTCCTGTGGTATTGAAATTTGGGAAATTTGTGGCTGCTTCAGCACTGCTGTGCTGCCATGGTCACGTGATCATCATGGGTATATCCCCGACCCTGCACCCAATCGTGGCAAGGCCTGTCAGGTGAGGCCTATCAGGGTGAGTGGCAATTGGACTGCTTCGTGGCAATTGGCTGCTTTGGAAACGAGGCAGAAATTTGAAATCTCTTAACGGCTGTGGGCATTGAGAGAAGGATGAGGGAGCGACTTGGATGCCTGCTGGGGGTCACCAGTGTCAACAGGTGAGCCTCTTCCTCCCTCAAGGGAGGGGGCCCTTAGGGACACACCAGAATAGGGAGTGGGGATGTAGTTTTCTTCATGGTCCACAGCTCCCCCCAGCAAAGTGGCAGACAGTTCCACAGGTGAGCCGAGGAGGTGGTGGCGGCGGCTTCACTGGTGCTCTCCTGAGGGTCATGAAGGGAGGGCAAAAGGAAGCCTATATATGGAAAGGAAGGGAAGGAGGAGGGATCCCTTACCTCTTTCCTGCCTCCCTCTGGCCCCTGTCATAAACTTACATAAAAAATGTAAAGGATGGTCATATAGAAATGCCGTTTACAAATTTGCACCAGACTGGATATTATATGGAACCGAAGAACACAAAGCGCTCTTGGGGGCAGCACGAGAGATAAGCAATACAGCCCAACCTATTGCTTCTCCAAGACTTGATCCTCCTAAAGAGGAGTAACAGCTGTAGGAAAAGACAATTTACAAAGGACACTTAAAATTCAGATTGTTATTCTGATAAAGGGGTTTGAAATCCAGCCCATTTACTACAATCACTTTTATGGATGGACAGACAGACAGACAGGCATAGCTTCAACACAGACCTAGCGCTGGTTGCTGTGTGACTTGGCCGTCTTGGGTCTCTCCGCTGTTGTTCCACTGGGGCTCCCAACAGCTGAAGGGAGATTGGGTATCATGTTGCTTGATACGCTATGCTCTTGTATGTTCTATGCTTTTACGTTTGTTTGCTTAAATTGTGTTTCACTCTATCAGTCCCGCATTGGCTCTATGCAAGCCCTTGGAGGAGAGAGAAGAAGAAAATAAATAAATAAAGCAGGGGTGTTTCATCTTTGTTTTATTAAAGCGAACGGAAGTCAGCATTGAATAGATCTGCAGGACCAAAGGATTTTTCTGCGATATACTGTAAGACTTTCTAAGAAATTTCAACAAAACCATTAGCTCAGGTAATGAATGAGATACAACCCTGTATTTTTGTCTTCATGGCATATTTTTTTAATTTATAAGGAAGGGAGTGACTCACCTGTCTAGAGTCTTCTGGGCCTATCTCCTTCTTAAATACAGACAGCAAACTTTATGGCTGTCCTACGAAAGAGGCTAAGTAGCCTTTAGCTGACATAATTCAGTCAGACTGCATCAGTCCCAAAGAGATACGTGAGCAGCGTTATCAGATATATATTTGAATGCCACTGACAATATTAAGCAGAAAAATAGGAGAGCAGCTTTTAATTTTTCTTGAGGTGAACATATGGATTGGCCTTTTATATTCTTGAAAAATATGAACTGCGGCTCGAATTTTCTTTCATGGATATACTTACAATGAACAAGAGTCCAAGGATTGTAATATACAACACTATGGTTCAGTATCAGGATATCAGATTAAGAAGTATAAGTTGTGGATGTTTACAAGGAATCTATCTGAAGAGGAAAAAGCATTTCAAACAAACAACGTGATTTAATATCACTGTTAAACCAATTAGGTTTAACAGCATTAAACTGATCGGTATTCAACTGATCCATTTACTTAACTAGAAACAAAGACTTACTCAAAAGTAATTATCTACAGAGCTGGGAGAATATAATGGCTAATATTTCAAGATGGAAAAATGGGCAAGGATAGAGAAGAGAGTCAAATACATCTTTCTTCAAGGATAAGAACAAGGCAGTTACTTTCCATATTTTGCCTGTTCTTTTGATCATCCTGAATAGGTAGCTACAAGAGAAAGGACCTTCACAGATGGGATGTGGGGATGCGGGTGGGGGGAGATCCCACTTACAAAGACCCTCTGGAGACAGGCACACTGAAGCTGTGACGCCGAGCACCTTCTCCCATACAAGATGGGCAGCTATTCAAATTAAATCACATCAGTCAATCAACCAATTCTTTAGCTCGGCCTCCAATTCAATCTGAAGTCCCTGCTCTGTGCTAGAATAGTGGACTGAATATCCTAGGGGCTATTTATTTACTTATTATTTTTTAAAACTTTTTAGGAACTTTCACATTTCACAAAAGGTTGTACTCCACACGGAGAACATTGATGGAGTAGAAAGAGCAACAGTTTACGGCCCACCTTTGCAGCTGGAATGCACCTCACCAAATCAGAGTCCTAAGTCAGCCATCTAAGACAGCTATCTAGACCGGTTTCTTACCTCCAGTGTGCAAAAGTGGCTCCTTTAGGCCATTTGTAGACCTTCACAAGGGAGGGTGGATTTTCTACAGGATTTTGCAAGCCATGGTCCCAGTAAATCAGAAGTGGGGCTCTTTAAAAGAAGAAAAACTGTCAGAAAAGGAATAAGAACCACATCCCTTTGCTGGGCAAGATGCTGGCAGTCATCCAGGAAACGGGTTAAGTACCACCTCAGCTGGGGAAACTGCTCCCCCCCCACCAGTGAAACCTAACAAACTTCCCAACCCCTGCCTTTCATTTTCACCCATCAGTATACCCTGCCATTTAAACAGCTCAGCCCCCCTCTTCTACTCCTCCATAATTTATCCACCAGAGCGAAGAGCACCCAACATTACCTGAGAAGGGTAAGAGGAGGAGGGAGATTCTGCAAATCTGGTTCAAAAGCCCCCATTAAAGCTGGACAAGCAAGCGCATTTTGCTTTTGCTGTCTCTTCCACGGGTGTGGAATGAATTCGATCTACCACTTTAGTCAAAGGCAGTGCAATCACATTTAGTAGGCACGGGACCTTTTTCGTTCATTTGATCATTATCCAAGCCTGTCTCAGCACCTCCCACATGCATCAAAGGGAACAGGCTTGCAAACCAAGCCAGGTATTGTGGTAGTCTCTCATTGGTTGATGCTGAAGAACCAAATTCTGAAACACACTACCCGAGGTCTAAAGGCTCCCTGTAACCCCTTACAAGCTCCTCCAGAAGTTGCTACTGGCTTATCACTGTCAACGCAACAAGAGGGAGAAATAAATGGATCTTTAAACACATTCAATCCATTTGACTTGATGTTCGTTTGCAAATCAAGTCCAGTCAAATTTAGTTGGGAATTCAAGCCCATCTCCTGCTTTGTTTTGGCTCAGCTGTTTTGAAGAGCAAACCACTGCCTGCCATTCCAAAGCCAAATGTGGCCCCCAGCCCCCAAATATTGCATCCCTTTATCAATAAGAAATCAAGCCAGTAGTTGATCAGCAAAATGGCCTTTGATTTGATTCCAACGAGACCACTGACATTGTTTTCGCTACTTCGCCATTGCAAACTTTTTGGACCTTTTTAGTTCATCATGTAGCATCATTTCCTGCTTCAACGCATACTGTCTGTATGAGCTGGGAAAGAAAAGAAATGCATCTGATTTTATTTATTTTTTTGATCCTTTATTCTAAAACCAACTGGGTGAGTCAGCTGGCCAGCGAGTGCAAGCCTCCAAAAGTGAGGAAAAGTCAAACTGGCATCAGTTCTCTGAACCGCTGGTGTCCCCCTTCTCTTCCTTGCTTTCCATTAATCCGCTCTCATCGATGTTCTCCAGCGAGGAGGCATGTTGGAGTGACAATTCGGACAGGGGCATTGTGGGAAGCACACTTTGGTCAGGATGCAACCAAGGTTTTTTGCCTGCGTTGTGTTCCTGTTTCCAGGAGGGGTACTTCAAGCAGGCTTTGTACATCTTCTTCATAAGCTGAACGTAGGAAGGAAGGAGGGAAAGAACAAGGGTCAAAACAATGAACAAAAGGAGAAGAACCACATGGAAAAAGCTTGCAATCCCACGTGCTTTATCACAATGTTCTTTGCAGGTAACGTAGACCAGTGTTCCTCAACCTTTGCAACTTTAAGATATGTGGACTTCAACTCCCAGAAGTCCCCAGTCCCCCCACTCTTATCGCGCCAAGTGGA